GTTCCTCTCGTTTTCAGAGGTAGAGTTGTAATTGTTGAAAGTGTTGTTATCCTAAATACTTTTTTGCTGAGTCCCTCAGATTTTAAGTTCATTTATGCTCAGTTAGATTTTCTTCAGTTGTTTGGAGGAGGTGCCTCCCATACCATTCTCGAGACCATCAGGGCTGCCTGAGAGGCTAATTCAGAATATTTGAAAATTTCTTTTGATTTCTCTTTTGACCAATATGATATTTAGAAATGGTTAGTCTCAACAGTTTTGGGGGGATTTTCTATAATTGAATTCTAATTCAATTCCTTTATGATCTGCAGGTAGAAGGTGTTTGATTTTTATTCTTTCAGTAACTTTATGCCACAGATATGGCCTATTTTGGTAAATGTTTTGTATGATCTTGAGAAGAGTATGTATTCTATTGTATATGCAATATTTTTGTTAGCCATTTAAGCCTAAAATATGCAGATAAAATACAAAGAAATAGAATGAATATGAAGAAAACAGACAAAAATCAAAATCTCATTCTTTTCAACTTACAGTTTTGTTAATATTATCTAAACACAGGAAGTACAATTTACATTCTTACTTGTTTTTTTTGGGGGGGGGGGTCACACCCAGTGATGCACAGGGGTTACTCCTGGTTCACTCACTCAGGAATTACTCCTGATGGTGCTTGGGGGGACCATATGGGATGCTGGAAATCAAACCCAGGTCGGCCACATGCAAGGCAAAAGCCCTACCCGCTGCTGTGCTATCACTCAAGCCCCTATTCTTTGTTTTTTTTTTTTAATCGAATCACAGTGAGATACATGGTTACAAAGTTGTTCATTCTTTTTTTTTAACCCTGATTTATTTCTGATAATCCAAGTTTGCTGGACTGTTTTGATAACAGAAGATAAGCCACTTATACTTATGTGACAGTAGTGGTAAGCCAAATGATGTTGATAGAAGTGATTTCAAAGGATAAGAAACACAGGAGTTTGTACTAGTTTATTGAAAGAATTATTATCCCTCTTATTTTGAGTTTTGGGGGGTGGTCTCTGGAGTGGGGGTGGGTGGCTGAGGGGAAGGGTATGTTGTGGTCACACTGGCTGGCGTTCAGAGCTTCCTGTTGGCTCTGTGCTGAGGGACATTCCTGGCAGAGCTCTGGGAACCAAACCTGGTAACGGGGAATTGGATCTGGGAAAGCCTCATACAAGGCAAATGCCTTACCTGCTTTACTGTTTCTTCAGTAATCGAGTCAGTTTTTAGCCATAATTGATTGGGTAAGTGCTAGAAGCACATAGGTAATTTGCAGAGATGTAATACAAAAAGCAAAACCATCAGAATTTTAAGCAGCATTTATATGCATGATACACATACATTGCAATCATTAAATGCATTAGTTTAAGGAAAGACTATAAGTGGTAGAGCAGCTTGCCCTACGTGTGTGAGGCCTGGGTTTGAATCCTGGCACGCTTCTTTTTAATAAATAAATAAATAAAGTTTTATAAAGCTCACAGACATATCTTTAGAATTCCATATGTAACCTCTACCATTATTGTAACTACCTAAACTATAGTAAAATACTATAGTAAAATAATATTCAAACTTAAAATAATTTTGTATATAGTCATTAGTGCTTTGTGAGTTTCTTTTAAGCTCACTTCAGATTAGACTATATACAAATATTAGACTATATACAAATGACAAGGCAAATGAGTTGCTTAGAAATAGTAGATGAAGCTATAGCAAATAAAGGTAGTTTATGTTTTATTCTCTGTATATGCACACATTTCTTTTTAAACCTCCAAAGCAGTGCTCAGGAAACTTAGAGGCCCCTTTGGGGGATCTCGATAATTCAGTGTGTGGACCCCTAGGAGTCAGTGCTGGTTTATCCAGGCCTTCCCGGCTGTACCTCACATTGCTCAGGGGATTGGGTGGTGCCTGGGATTGAACTACAGTTGGCTACATTTAAGACATGTGTTTTATACTATCTCTCCGTCCCTTAGCTTGATATATTTAGAAACAGTATGCTGATACATTAGACCAACTCTCGGACAAACAGGGATAGCTAAGGCAGTTTTGTTGATTTTAATTTTATATTAATGCAACAGCAATATGAAGGGAAATTTAATTTTCCTCATCCTTGCTGACAAAACAACTTGATCTAAAGTATGTGAAATATCAAAGGGTTAACAAATCCATCTGATTTGTTTTGCTTTGGTTTGTCAGGATTGCATTCTGGTTATGTAGACAGTGAGAAGGAAAATATGCTGAATCTTGTGCAAGAGTGAAAATCAATGTCCTTCTCCTTCATTAACAAACCCTTCCTGGAGTCCGGCACTATGGTTCAGTGGCAAAGTGCATGCCTTACATGCTTTGCTCTGGTCCCTTGAGCACTGCTGGGAACAGACCTTCGCCCTTCATCCCACCCCAGCCCTCAGCACAGAACAGACTAGCCCTGGGAACCTCTGGGTGTGACCCAAAAGCCCCCCTGTCCCCTGAATAAAGAAAGAAAGCCTTGCTATGATGTCAGCTGAACGGTATACTTGCAGTATCAGCTACTTAGCAGTAGTTCGAAATATAAATTAAATATTAGTAGATTATTTGAAATTGAAAAATTGAGTCACTTGTGTGGCATGCTATTGACCCTGGTTTGATCCCTGGCACTGCATATGTATGGGCGTGATGCCTGAGTACAGAAAGAGGTGTAAGCCCTGAGCATAGCTAGGTGTTGCCTGAAAAACCAAAACAAACAAATGTGATCATAACTTGGCCATTAAGTCAGTGAGATATTATTATATGCTGAGGTATACACTGATTTCAAAGGGAAATTTTCAGAAAAAGTACTTGAAGTTTAGGATGAAGTTTATGATGTTTTTGCAAGAGAATTTGGTCCCAAAATTACTTGGCTGATAGCTTTATTCCCCCTTTTCCCCCAAATGATTTTAATTTTTCTATGTAAGATGAACAAAATGAAAGGTAGAAATTTGGCAGAATGTGTAAATTATTGCAATCTATTCTTTAATATCAGGTGGTTTAAGTATGGTCCTTCATATTGCGTATTTGCAAAATGTTACAGTGAAATGCCTGAAATGCCTTACAAACTTGATGACTTGAAGTTCATTGAAAAATTAGATATATTGGGGCTGGAGAGATAGCACAGTGGGTAGGGTGTTTGCCTTGCATGCGGCTGACCCGGATTGAATTCCCAGCATCCCATATGATCCCCTGAGCACTGCCAGGAGTAACCCCTGTACATCGTCGGGTATGACCCCAAAAAAGCAAAAAAAAAAAAGATATAAGAAATAGATGATTGGTCCATTATTTCACTTAAGATTATTTTAGAATTAAATGTCATTTTGTTAGATAAGTTACTGGAACTGCTAAATGCAGTAGTCTCCAGCAAAGCCCCCGGGAGGTACTGCCTGCCACCACTCCACTCTGTGTAATGTACCCTTTGCCCATTGAGCTACAGGGCTTATGTGATAACTGTGTCATTTAGTGTGTCATTTCTGAGATAAGGGCACAGCAGATACTTCAGCTTCTGTCTCAGTTGCCAAACAAAACCCATCAAAATGTAAGTGACTTGCATTTAGCTGTCTCTGCGGCATTTTCTCTTGGAGTGGGCTGCTATGCTCTGAGCAGGCCAGTGGGCAAACCTGCATCTTGAGACAGACCTTTTGTCACCTCACATGTGAGTGAACTGAGAGACAATTTCTCTTGTTCAATTAAACCTTCAGGTGACTATTACTCTAATGAACTGTTAAGTAAACCACCTCCTGTGCTGCTTTCAAATTCCTAATGATTAAAAATTACAAGAAAATGTGTTTTAAGTGATTAAGTTTTGCTGCAAATTGGTAATAGATAATACCAAGAAATATTTGTAAGGGAGTTTATTGTATTTGAAACTCAGATGGGCTGGGAAGATGGAGCTAAAGTCTGGAATGCATATGCAGCTTCCCGTGGAGATACTCTGGGCTGAGTCTCTTTCACTGCATAGTCTCCTGAGCACCACCAATTATAACCCTGATACCAGGCACTGAAATAAGAGAAATTGTTGTTTTACTCCTGGCAGTAATAACCCCTGAGCATCACAGGATGGGTTTTTCCCCCCTTCCAAATAAAGTTAAAAGTTCTGATGGCCGTGCTCTAGTGTTGTTTCTGTGCATACTTTCAGTGAAGAGTGAGTTTTCAAACTTACCTGATTCCTTATTATAGTCAGTGGGGTGGATGTGACTTGAAGTGCCTGAATTTAATAAAATTAGTTGAACTTACATTTTATATGACCTTTTTACTCTTACAGTTTTCCAACGTGTTTAGTAGGGCATCCTGAGCACCACCTCCAGTAATTCTTGGCCAACCTTGCCCGGTATTTTTGTGTTCAGCCCCAGCCCTATGGTGCTGGGGACCAGCAGGATACCATAGCGGTGTTATGGTGCACTGAGGACTGCAACCAGCCATAGATGGGGGAGGACATGCAGTTCTGGGACCCACGTGCAAGGCGTGCAAGGCATATGCTCCGACCATTGTGCTCTGTCTGGTCCCACTAGTAGTTCGTTTTCATTTGATCTTGGAAAAGTTCTGGTGCTCCACAATAGATTGGAATTTTAAAAGAGACAAGAAAAGTTGATCCTCATTACAGATGGTCTCAATTCTCACCACACCCCACATTACAGTTATCTCGCGATTCTTGTAATTGATTTTATTTTATTTCCTATTAAAATGAAAACCCTATGAAGGATAGAGTCCCAGTTTGTGTTTGCTTTTAACAACTTCAGCATCCAGAATTGTCTATGGTCATTAGCGGCTACTTAGTAGATATTGGACAAAAACTTAAATTTTTAACAATTTTTTCCATTCTGTGATTAGTGATGGAATAGAGATGAATTTCTATAATTATAAGTCAGCTCTTACAACCATATGTCCTTAAGGGATTAGTGATCGCTAATGGTGAATGTCAAGTATTGTTTATATCTCCTTCTTAAGAACTAGGAATTTTTACAAAACGCATTTTGTTTCCATAGTACAACCAGTCCTTCTGAAGAAGAAGTCCTGAGTAGACATCCCCGAACAGAAAGAAGTGGGTTCAGCAGATACAACAGAGATGCAAATTCTTCAAGTAGTTTGGTCTCAAGCAGCTCACTGGAGAAGAAAATTGAAGATCTTGAAAGGGTATGAACCACAAATTATGAAGATGATAACATTTAGTATATGATTGGGATTCCTTTTTTTTTTTTCAGAAACAGATAAAATAAGTTGAAATTTGTTGCAGGAAGGCATTTGTACTAAAAAGGCAGAAGAATGAGGGAAAATAACATTTTTGTTAATTAGTATTTCCATATATAGTCAAATAGTAAACTTTGAATCACTGTTTCAAGCATGTTGTTTCTAGATGCCTAATAGTTAGGAATTTTATGATTTCCTTAAGTCTTCCCAGTACTGTTTATGTTAAAACTTTTGGAAATTAAGCCAGTTCTTGTATTCCTTAATATGTAATGGATTCTTCATTCTGTTTTCTTAATATATTAAAAAGCAATCTTTACCTTAGAAATGGGATGTGTGAGTGTGTGTGTGTGTGTGTGTGTGTGTGTGTGTGTGTGTGAGAGAGAGAGAGAGAGAGAGAGAGAGAGACAGAGAGACAGAAAGACAGAAATACAGACAGAAATACAGACAGGGAGAGAGTGTGTGTCCTAGTAATACTATTGTTTTTTATTTTATTTGTACGGATTTATTTGTAGGCTTATGTCTGAATTGTATTAGAGCCTAGAGCTATCTTTTTGTTTTAAACAATGTAAAGAATAAGACTAATGTTTAGGAGTAACTTAGAGAGCAATTCAAGTATATATAAGCTCAAATTTACTAACAATTTGTTAGTAATTTGTTCTGTGAATATTTAACTATAAAGTTGGCATTGCTATTGAATTTCTTTGAGTATTGAAGATGTTTTGTTTACCAAACTGAGATTATTCCCTGTGATACAGAGATTGTTTTAGTAATTAATTTTTATGTTTTTATTTTGTAATATTGAAGTTCATATACAAGCTTTAACACAGTTTCTAAAGATAACAGTATAAAAATTTAATAAATAAGTAGATAATTAGCCTCAGACATTAAGACTTAAAGTTCCACAAGAGTTTGAATTGGATTGCTAATGTTTGGAAGCAGATGATTTTTAAAATGCTTTCTATGAGAATCAACAGGAATAAAAGCCATAGTCTGAGCTGTACTTTAAATATTTTTTGTTCTTGTTGTTGAATCACCATGAGATACAAGGCTTTAATGTTTAGGTTTCAGTTATACAATGATTGAACACCCATCCCTCCACCAGTGCACATTTTTCACCACCAGTGTCCCCAGTATCCACCCCCGCATCCCAACTCTCCCTCTAGGGGCCTTTATTTCAGACAATTTCCCCCATATTCTCTCTCTACTTTGGGGCATAATGGTTTGTAATTCAGATACGAGAAGCTGTCACGTTTGGTCCTTTATCTACTTTCAGCACACATCTCCCATCCTGAACTGTCTCTCCAACCATCATTGACTTTAGTGATCCCTTCTCTGTTCCACAGAGCTGTACTTTTTGGTTCTTCATTTCCTTATTTAGTGTAAGACCTTGAATTCTACGTAAGATTTCTTTTTTTAGAAGTGTTGCGTTGTTACACAGAAAAAAAGTTTAGAGGCCGGTAATCTATCAGCTCCCTCATTTTATCCACTGTCACTTAAGTGACAGACGAAAAATAAAATTGCGAACCATTATTTTTCCATCTCCTTGTCTTAAGCATTGTATGAATACAAAATTTTGTTTCTCCAAACAAAGATATTATCTACATAAAAATGATGTTTTATTACTGGTAGTAGTGATAAAGAGGGCAATTATTGCATATTGGCATTTGTTAAAGACCTTTGTAAATACAGATTTAACCAAGAAATGAGACTTTCATAATTTCTTATTTTTTGGGTTGAGTTCTTAATCGCTGGGTAATTTACAGAATATGTTGAAAATGTTTATGTCTCTAAGGTACTTTACTGTATTTGACACCTGTATGCTATTTAAGATTGTCAACAACCAGTTACTTCACAATTAATATTTTTTAATTGTTTACCAGGAAGTAGTAAGAGAAAGGCAAGAAAATTTAAGGCTTGTAAGACTAATGCAAGATAAAGAAGAAATGATTGGAAAACTCAAGGAAGAAATTGATTTGTTAAATAGAGTAAGTATTAAATTATTTTAGCTCTCATTTTACTCTTCTCTTGTAAAGTGAATGGGTGTACATAAATATAAAAAGAAATTCATGTTTATGAAAAAATAAGAAATTTAAATTCATTAGTTGATTCTTTTGTAAAATCTGAAAGAAGCAACTTGGTCATTACTGAATGAATGCAAAAGGAGGTTGGGGCAGAATTGTTTAATGAACTGAAATTATTTTCTTGCCTTCTTGCCTTAAAAAACTTCGGGTGTCTCTTTGTATTTATTGTGCAATTATATGTATGCATCACTAACTTAAACTCACCCCTACCGTTTCTTTTTGCTTTCAGCCTTAGAATTTTACTTATTATTACTTAAGAAGTAGGTATAAATGCTAGGTCTTCCAGGCTAGAGAGATGGGAGGAGGGGGCGGGGTTAAGGCATTTCGACCCTGGTTCAAACCTTGTAACCACGTATCCACAGATGATCTGTCCCTGATCACTACCAGGGGTCTCTTCTGAGAACCCCTGAGGAACGCTGGGTGTGCTCAGAGTGTGTCCCCCCCCCCAACACAAGCAGTTAATTAGTTAATTTTAAAATGCTAGGTCTTATTTAAAGGATGAGAGAGATTCTAAAGTTTTGCCTTTTAGGAGATGTTAGATAAGATGGAGGAAAGAAGTAAATTTACTTCAGGGGAAAATTAATGAACAAATCTCTAGCTGAATATGAATTAAGAAAACAGAAAATTAACTATTATGGACATGCCCATTCTAATAAAATTGTAAGGTACTAATTATAAGCTATAGATCACTTAATCACTTAATCCCCGTTATTCATCGATTTACTCGAGCGGGTGCCAGTAACGTCTCCATTCATCCCGGTTGCGTGCTAGCGTAGCCCAATGGTATCTGTTCGTTCTAGGAACATGCAGAGCCTCAAACCGATCATTCAGGGTCTTGACGAAGAAGTCTGACCATCTTGTAGGTGGGCATCCACGTGATCTTTTGGTGTCCCGTGGAATCCAATCAGTAATGGCTCTAGTCCAGCGGTTGTCTGTAAACCTCATTACGTGTCCAGCCCATCTGATTTTTGATGCCTTGGCAAATGAGACAGCATCCCTGATTCTTGAGCCTTGACGGAGATCAGAACTCCAGATTCTATCTATCATTTTAGTGAATCGTGATATTCCAAGCTATAGATGAGGACACTAAAACCTAAAGTCTTAACATGCTCCCTGTCTTATAATCATATTCTAATCAACCTAGCCATTGTTCGCCCTCAGGTATTGATAGTCCTAATTCCAAGTAAACTGTTGCCATTCTTGTTAATTGCCTTTCATTTTGGCTTAGAACACAGGAACTCCTCTATTCTAATAGATGGTATAGTAAACCTCTAAACATTTTGGTACCTTTTAGCACATCTTAGACACTGTGTGCGTGTAAAACAATAATGAGACACTGGGTATAGTTCTGTCATGATAGAACACTTGCCTTGCATGTGTGAGGCTCTAGGTTTGATTTCTGTACTAAATGGTCACATCAGGAACAGGATTTTTATGTTCTCATAACTTAAAGGTTACAGTGCCTTCTCTTACTAGCTTACTATACAGCATACCTCATTTTATTGCATATCATTTTGTTGTGGATCTCATAGATGCTGTGTTTTTTTTTCTTTTTACTATATTTTTGAAGACTAACCAAAGGTTACAAATCACTAAAGACTTTTTTTTTTTTTTACTGTAGCACTGTCATCCGTTGTTCATCGATTTGCTCAAACGGGCACCAGTAATGTCTCCATTGTGAGACTTGTTACTGTTTCTGGCATAGGGAATACGCCAGGGGAAGCTTGCCAGACTCTGCTGTGCAGACGGGATACTCTTGGTAGCTTGCCGGGCTCTCCGAGAGGGGCGGAGAAATTGAACCCAGGTCGGCCACGTACAAGGCAAATGTTGTACCCACTGTGCTATCGCAAGTTTTTGTGTTTTTGTTTTAACATTTTATTTACTTTATAAAGGGGAGATAGCACAGCGGGTAGGGCGTTTGCCTTGCGTGGCCAACCTGGGTTCGATTCCTCTATCACTCTTGGAGAGCCCAGTTAGCTACCAAGAGTATCCCACCCGCACCGCAGAGCCTGGCAAGCTCCCCATGGCATATTCAATATGCCAAAAACAGTAACAAGTCTCACAATGGAGACATTACTGGTGCTCGCTTGAGCAAATCAATGAACAACGGGAGGACAGTGCTAAAGTGCTATAAAGGGGAGGGATTTGGACTACACCTGGTTGTGTTCCGGGGTCACTCCTGGCAGTTCTTGGGGTTTTATGTGGTATCAGGGATGGAGGCAGTATCACGAGTAAGGCAGGCACCTTCACCCCTGTACTATCTCTCTGGCCTCTAAAGTATTTTTAAATTTTGGCATATACATAGGTTTGGGCTGGAGCAGTAGCACAGCGGGTAGGGAATTTGTCTTACACACGGCCGACCTGGGTTTGATTCCTCCGCCCCTCTCAGAGAGCCTGGCAAGCTACCGAGAGTATCTCGCCCGCACGGCAAAGCCTGGCAAGCTCCCCGTGATGTATCCGATATGCCAAACACAGTAACAAGTCTCACAATGGAGACATTACTGGACCCACTCGAGCAAATCGATGAAGTGCTATGTAGTGCTACAGTGCTACATAGTTTTTTAGGCACAAGGCTGTTATTTCACTGAACGGAGTTCTATATTATATAAATAAAACTTTGATATACACTAGAATATCAAAAAAATTGTGACTTGCATTGTTGCATTATTAACTTTATTTTAACTGTGGTCTGGAAACAGACCTGCAATTATCTCCATGGTATGCTTGAAATATAGTAAAAGGTACTTGTGCGTAATACATTGTATAACACTATTTGTACATCTTGAGTAGGTTTCTGCTGTACTAATTTTAGGAATTCCATATCTTTGTAGTTGTGTTTTTCAGTAGATAGTTTTTCCAGCATTTATTTTCCACTTGAATAAATGCAGATTCTATTTTTGTACATTTTAGAGTAATTTGCCTTATTGTCCAGAGACATTATATAAATTTATTGGAAGGCTGCTCCTATAGCCCATTTATAATTCAAATTAGTTGCCTCAAGTATCAGTGGTTTAAATTGCAATAATGAATTATAAATGTCTGCTTTCAACCATGAGTAAATTATCTATCCTGAAATAACATTTCAGCTTAAGTTATAGTAGATTTGACACTAGGGTTCACATAGAACACACAGGGGACAAAGAGATAGTACAAGGGGTAAAGTACTTGCCTTGCTTATGTCCATCCTTGGTTCAATATCTGGCATCCCATATGGTCCCCCGAGCACCTCCAGATTTAGTTCAGAAACAAGAGAGCTGAGTTATATACCTTTAAAACCAGTGGGTGATACTTATTTCTGTGTTTTTTTTCCTTTTTTTTTTTCCTTTTTGGGTCACACCTGGTGAATCATAGGGGTTACTCCCAGCTCTGCACTCAGGAATTGCTCCCGGCGGTGCTCAGGGGACCATAATGGGAGCTGGGCATCGAACCCGGGTTGGCCGCGTGCAAGGCAAACGCCCTATCCGCTGTGCTATTGCTCTAGTACCATCGTTCCTATTTTTTTTTCTTTAACCTATAAAGCCTGTGTCTCAAAAAAAATGTTGCAAAGGAAACTACTATATATATTGAATCATAACCACTCTGTATGCCTCAGATACCATTTCTTTGTATTTCAGTTCTGTCATCTTTCCAGATTCCCATCCTCAGCATGCACCCATTAAAGATTACCCAGTTTAAAAGGAGTACATCCAGTACTGCTTCCTGTATCTTTTGATGCCTATTTGACCCAAAGTTGTAATCAGGGACTCAGAATCTCTTGCTGCCTTTGTGTGTGTGTGTGTGTAGTTTAGCTTTAAGTTTTAGATAAGAGAGGAGGGATAGGCAGGAGGTGGGGGTCCAAGGTGCTTAGAAGCTGTTCTGGATTCTGCTTAAGATCTGACAGGTGGAGGCCGGGATCAAATCAGGGTCAGCTGCATGCAAGACACACACCTTTACACCTGTACTGTCTCTCACCGCAGGATTTGTTTTAAAACATTTAGCTGTTCATAATTATTAAAGTTATAAGGTTCACAATTAATTCTTCCTTGGTTTCTCTTGAAAGCTGAAAGATCTGGCAAGAGTCAGTGCCATATTTACTAATCAGGAGTAGTGGAGTCATCCTTTAGCTGACATGTTGCATCCGAAGTTAGCCCCATTCCAAATTATTTGCTTGTATGAAGTGTCTTTGTATATTTATTTCTAAATAAATGTTTCCATCACTGTCAGAATATTTCTAAACATTTTTGTTTGTTTCTTTAAGGATCTAGATGACATAGAAGATGAAAATGAACAGCTAAAGCAAGAGAATAAAACTCTTTTGAAAGTTGTTGGGCAGCTAACAAGGTAGAAGATTGAAGACTCGTTACGGAAATATATTTTAAAACTACTGATTGAATGTTTAGTTAATGTTAGGACAATATTCCTGTGCTGCAATACATTAAACTAAGTATGTATATTTATTTTTAGAAAACAGTGGATGTTTATTTTCAAAATACTTCTTTCTTTTTCATTGTTTCAAAAAAGTATCAACCTTTTATTCTTGAATAAGTAACCTCTTTCAGTTATTAAAATGATAGGTTATGCCTCTTGGTTTTATGTGGTATTCAGATAATATATGGTTTAAAGTCACAACCATTTGAATATATTTTCTCTAAGGTAGTGAAGTTTCTCCCTAAAGAAATATTCATAGTCTTTGTTTACATGAGTTCAAATACTTTTGGATGTGTCCTGCAAATGTTTTATGTTTATGTAACCTTTTTGTGTTGATGATTTACTTATAAAGGTCGCTGTGTACTGTTAGTTGTTCTTTCAACTTATTCTAAGCAATTTAGAGTACTATAGAGTTACACTGTTTTGTATAACAGTCATCTTTAAAAAGAAAAACTATTATAAAGACTCACTTAGTATCATGTACTAGTTGGCTAAATATAAAGTGTAAAAGAATACTTGAATTGTGCTTTAATAAATTAAAATGCTATTTTGTATTTGAATATTAAAGAAAATTTAAAATTCATTTTCTGGAATGCAAAATTATAGATTCACTATAAAATTTCTTTGTAGGTACTACCTTTTTAAATTATTATTTCAAGGTTTATAAGTGAACATGGGATATATAAAAAGTTACTCATCAAACCTGGAGAAATATAGTTTCAGTATATAAGAAAAATCCATGTTTTAAGTTATTACATGCATTGCAGTTAAACAGAAGTGTTTAGACAAAGTACATAAACATAAATAGTTCTGAAATATTTTACTTGGTTGGAATATCACTGATACAGGTATTTCATATAAGAATTAGTTCCCTAATTCAAATTTAAGGTATTTCTTCCTAACACTTGGATTTTCTTTTTAAAAAGCTATTTAAAAGGGTTGCACAAAATTTTCTCTTTTATTGATTATTTGTATTTAAAGTTGTTTTATATCACATTTCTAGATTACATTTCTGTAGTTCATAATGAAACTCCCTCTTCAAAACACACAAGGGACTACCCAATAGTTGACTTTTTATCCAATGACATCAGTAAGTGTATGTACTATTTTGGGTACCAGGCTGACTGTCTCATTTTCAAAACCCATTGGTTATTAACTATTAGGAAAATAAGGGAGGGTAAAGCAATCAAAACATTTAGAATAAATGTTGCCTTCTAAAACTTTTAGCAGTTATGTAGATTGAGTTCCTTTCTACCCCTTTCTCATTTTATGTTTCCACCTTAGCTTATTTTCACAGCCTCTTGGGTTGCTTAAAAAGAAATTCCTGACTGTAGCTTCTGTAGATAGCTTTATGTGAGACTCTGTACAGAAATTTTAAAGCTCACTATCAAACTGTCTGATGAATTTGATCTTCATCTAAGTTTACAGACAACTGATATTACCTCTTTCCGCCTATCTCCATTGGAGACCCTGAATTTAACATTTTTTTGGATTTTGCCCCTTTTAGTTTATTTACTAATTAATCTTGTCTCTAGGGACGTTTTCAAGTGTCTGTATATATTTACCCAAAAGTTCAGTCTTTGATTAGCAAGCTTATTAATAACTGCAATCACTGAATAAAGACACCTGCTTGGGAGATTAGCCAGCATGGGGATATTCAGTGGTTTGCTGCCTGCAGACTCGCCAGAGTGGTGTGCCAGGATCAGACAGCGCCTACTGTGAGGTACTTCTCGCCCTTCACTTACCTTTATGTATATGCAGAAATATCAGTATTGCCTCATTCCCAACTCACATTTTGGATACGAAAATTCCATCAGTGCCCAGCCTTGAAATGTTCATTAGTATGCTGCGTTTTTTTTTTCTCAGTGAGAGAAGTAATTTGAAGTTTCTGTTTAATCCATATATAAATAGAATTCACTTCCTCCTTAAAAACTCTTACCAGTTTTAACTTTTTTAAGAGTGAGCTGTTTTTAAATTTATCCATTACTTTGGTTTACCAAAAACATTTTCAGTAGTGGTCGTGTACTTACTGGTGCCTTTTACAAATAATAGGAGGCTGACAACTCAAGCCGTGCTGCGTCCAGTCCTCAATACGTGTATTTCTATCACATATTTTTACACTGAATTTTGAAAAATTCGGTAAATTCTGCGACAGTTACCAGTAAATTTATTTTTTAAATTGAGGTTTTTCAAAGAGTACTTAAATACGTGTGTGCTACTTAGAAAACTTGGATGTTGTCAGTGAAGTGTGCTAGTATTTGTGAAATGGTTAATCCAATTCTTAAATATTTTTGTATTTCCTGAAATTTGTGGCTTAATAAAGCATATCCAAACTTTTGATGTGTTTAAATATTATTTTCAAAATATTAAGTTCATTAAGACACGATTTTCTCTTGAAATTTTCTGGTTCCCTTTTCTCAAGTTGTTATTAGTTTTATTGCAATATGGTTCCTTACATATAGGAAGAGGATGGCTTTAGCATATTTATTTCTAAGGGAACTTACTAAATATAGTGGGTTAATAGTGTTAGGCTCAAGTAGTTTAAAACAGAACATTGTTGGGTCAAATACATGAAGCATAGTGCTATTTCTAAACAGCTTTTGGTGAGGGGGTATTTTGTGGCCACACCCAGAGGTGCTCAGGACTTATTCCTGGCTCTGTGCTCAAGGGACCATATTTGGTGCTGGGGAATCAAACCAGGGTTAGCTGTGTACAAAGCTCTCCCTACCGCTGTACTATCCTCTGGCCAACTACATCACTTTGGTGTGGGACAACCTTCCAAACAGTACTGGGAAACTTGGGTCCCACCTGCAGTTCTTGGCCATGAGGTTGTCGGTTTAGTGCTCAGGCCCCAGAATATGATGCTACTCATGCCAGGTCGCAATGCTTGGGGTCCACCAGGACTGTACTTGGAGAAGCCATGTGGTGCCAGGAGTCAAACTGAGACGTGCTGGACGACACTAACCATTGAACTATTCCGTAGCCCTTTTGGGGAGTGTGGGGGTCAGTTCGGGCGACACCCAGTGATGTTCAGGGTTTACTCCCGGCTCTGCACTCCGGAATTACTCCTGGTGCTGACTGACCACCATATGGGTTGTCGGGTCAGTTGTGTGCAGGCAAATGCCCTACCTACTGTATTATCTCTCCAGCCACGCCCCTTTTCTTTTTTGCTTTTTGGGTCACACCCGGCAATGCACAGGGGTTACTCCTGGTCTGCTCTCAGGAATTACTCCTGGTGGTAGTCAGGAGTAATTTGATCTTCATCTAAGTTTATAGACAACTGATATTACATATGGGATGCTGGGAATCGAACCTGGGTCAGCTGCGTGCAAGGCAAATGCCCTACCCGCTGTGCTATTGCTCCAACCCCACCCCTTTTCTTAAGATGAAAACCCTACCTCAGTTACTTGTGATCTGTGTTTTCTATATTGAATTTTTATTATTAGAAATTATTATGCAGAATTGTAGATGTTAATAGTAGGCATATTTGTATATGCGGTATGATAAAGATAAAATTTGTAAGACTTTTGGGCTTATTGATTGATACCATAGACAGTATTCATTTATATCTTCTGATTAGGATTTTTGAGTCAGTACTTACTAATATTGGCCTTTACTTAAGTACTGGGCTGGAGTGACAGCACAGTGGTAGGGTGTTTGCCTTGCATTTGGCCAGCCCAGCCGACCTGGGTTCAATTCCTCTGCCCCTCTCAGAGAGCCTGGCAAGCTATCGAGAGCATCTCACCCACACCGCAAAGCCTGGCAAGCTGCCTGTGACGTATTCAATATGCCAAACACAGTAATGGAGACATTACTGGGCCCACTCGAGCAAATCGATGAACAACGGGAGGACAGTGCTACAGAGCTACTTAAGAACTATTCATGGACTTACCTGTTAAAACATCTGTTAATTAAGACGCCAAACACACCAGCTTGTCCTCACTCTCCCACCTCCCAATTTATCCTCCTGGCTCCTTCTCTCCTCTGCTGTGTGCGATGAACCCACAGCCTCATACATGCAAGTGCTTCACTGCTTGAGCTCCTTTCCCAGCCCTTCACGGCAGACAATCTATTACCTAAGAAAGAACTGCCATTCAGGAATCAAAACTTTTAAAATAACATGTAAAAGTCAGTGTTAAATGTATTCTCTGTGGACAAATTCTAATACATAACAAATGAGTTCGTTTGCACTGTAATTAAATTCTAAAAGATAAGTCATCCCATTGTGAGGAAACATGTCACTTATCTGGCAGCTAAACACTCTTGCTGTTCGTTGAAGAACAAGTATGAGACTAGTGGACTTTGAGTATTTTACGCTTCATTGCATCAGCAAAGGCATCTTTCTCCTCCCCCCATGCACTTAAGTTTCTCATTGACTTACAGAAGTTAGTGGTTTTATTATGTCTAAAAACTTGAAATATTACCCAAGAATAACCAAGCTCATATTTTATGGAGGTGGCACACCTGACTGTGCTCAGGTTTTACTCCTGGTGCTGCTTGCGGGACCATACCTGGTTCTGGAGGTCAAACGGGGGTCATCAGCAAGCAAGGCAGCAGCCTTAAACCCTATATTATCCCATTGCCTCCAAGCCTGTGGTTCGAGTTTTTACTGAGCTAGAATTTTATAGCATGGTAAAGTCATGTTTTTTGTCCCCTGCTCCCAGATAATTATATGCGAGGAATATGAATGAGTAACATTAAGTTTTCAAACCTATTTTTCAGGAAGCATTTCTGTTTCAGGCATAGTTATAAACAGTGAAAGTAATATTATTAACATAGACCAGCCTTTCCATCTACCAGTGTACAATCTCTATAGTGTGTATCCGTAGCATAAGTACAATCATCACTAACAACCTGTTTCATTTTACTTAAACTTAAGTTTAAGTTAAATTTTAAGTTAAAATTAACTTGATTGATTGTTGGATAGCACTGGGTTGTCCTTGCTCCTCCCGCAGGGAACTTTGCTTTATTGAGTTACTCCCACAACGGTGCCCCTGAGGCACACCCAGTTCCATCAAGCACTAATAATCCTATATTGCTTTTCTCTTTCCTTTATGTCATTTACATGGCTTGTTTAGCAATGTCCTTTTTGTATGGACGCAGGAAGACAGTTGATGCTATGCTTTTGTAACATGGGAGTTAATTGACTCCAAATAATAACGACTCCTGGGCTTCCATCATGTTTACATGACTTAAACTTCAGTTTCCTTTACTTCCTAACACCCTCAAAAGGAGTGTCCCGGTGAAGGGACTAGATAGACCCAGGGCAAGCAGTAAGCTACCCTGGTGTCAAAAGGGGACAAGCTAAGCGCCATAAGTATAATAAGAGCAAGGTCATGAAAAAAATTCTGTCATGACCCAAAAAGAAGTAACTGAATAAGGACCCTACTGGGGTTAAGAAAGACTAATCTGGCCTGAGGACTGTAGTCTGGGATATATAGCGAGATGTCCCCAGGAAGAGCCACCCTTTAAGCTCAATATATATCTCTTACTGTGTTTATACAAAATGACTAGAAATATTCATGGTATCACGGTCCTCCTGTTGTTCATAGATTTGCTCGAGCGGGCCCAGTAACATCTCTATCGTGAGACTTATTGTTACGGTGTGTGGCATATCGAATACGTCACGGGGAGCTTGCCAGGCTCTGCCGTGCGGGCGAGAAACTCTCGATAGCTTGCCGGGCTCTCCGAGAGGGGCGGAGGAATCAAACTTGGGTTGGCCATGTTGACCACTTGCAAGGCAAACGCCCTACTGCTGTGCTATCGCTCCAGAAGTAAATTTACTATGATTGTTAAACAAGAAAGCAATACACCCTGGATGGAGTGCTGAACCCTCAGATGAGATTTTTTACATCTGTTTGTTGTTAGGACAATGTTCAACCCGACCTGTGTGTATCTCCACCCTTCATGATTTCTATATAATTATGCTGTAAGGGGAAAGAGGAACATATCAATGTTGAGTACTAGACTATAAGGAAGATAAGGACTAGACTAGAAGGTAGAGGACTTTGAGGTCAACGAGGAGACTAGGATGATGGAACTATGATGACTGGGACTACGATCAAAACTATGACTACAGTCGTGCTGTAAGGGGAGAGATCGGACTACACCAGGGAGGAGAGAAATCAACCAATTACTGACCAGCCTGGGGCCCTGCTTCTGCGTTCCCTTTCCCTTTGTCCATCCATTGCCATCATTCTGACCTGGGGAGGTGGCTTGGCCACCGAAGGCTCGAGTCTTGTGCGCCACACTTTCTTTGAAACTCACAATTATCTTAGCTAGTATTAGTTGATATTAACTAATTGCTAACTAATAATTTGGGTTTTTTTGTTAATAATAATCCAAGTAGTGTATTCATCTGGCAGAATTTTGAGTTATCTAACATTTGTATTTTAGGTCTGGTACCCTAATCCCTACCAGGAGTGATCTCTGAGCACCAAGCCAGGAGTAAGTCCTGAGCATTGCTGTTACCCAAAATCAAAACAGAAAGTTGTTTGGGCTGAAGAGATAGTGGGAGGACGCTTGACTTGCATCTGGTTAACTCAGGTTTGAGCCCTGGCATCTCAAGGGCCCTCAGCACTGCCAGGAGTAATTACTGAGTGCAGAGTGAGAAGTAAACCCTGAGCATTGCTGGATGTGGCCCCCAAACACAGTTGTACATTATGAAAAGATAAGATGTGTGCGTACTACACCAAAATCTTACAGTAGTCAAGATTTAAATTTACTACTGTGTACAGTATTGATTACTGATTTTATATATATATATATATATATATATAATCTGATTAACAGTTTATACATTATTAGTCTCTTTGGAAATAATAGTGAGGATTAGCTGATTGGCACTTATTAGCTACCTGTTCTGAAATGGCAGCACCTCAAAATCTTAGTATTGTAGAAACAATAATGTTTTTGTTGTTTGGATTTTGGTTTGAGGGTCATATCCAGCCATGCTCAGGGGTTACTCTTATCTCTGTACACAGGAATTACTCCTAGTTGTGCTCTGAGAATGTTATGGGATGCCAGGTATCAAACCCAGGTCAGCAGGTAGCAAGTCAAGTGCCTTATACTTATTATCTCTCTGGGCCCAGGAATGATGTTTTTTAAAAATAAAATTGAAGTGTCGGTGAATAATTATAGTGATCTTCTTAAATAAGTGAGAAAGTTGTATACATATTTATTAACTTGATTAAAAATATATTGTCATAATGGTCAAAAACTATAATTTCTTAATTCAGGAACTCTTATCAGCTACATATGCTGGTGTTCAAGGAATTTCAGGTCCTTCATAGCTTGAAAAAGATAAGTAGGGATCCAGGAATGTAGAA